GCGCCCAGGATCCGAACCCGGGCCGCCAGCAGCAGAGAGCGCGCACTTAACTGCTAAGCCACGGGTCGGCCCAAGACCCTTTGTTCTGATTGTGGCAAACCTATAGTAAAGTTCATTCCCACAGGCCCTCCTGCAATTAGCTTTTTATCTTGATGGTCTGATGCAAAGTAGCATTGTTTAGACTTGGCTAAATGACAGATTCACAGGGATGTTTGTTAAAAATGCAGATTCAGGGCCCTACTCTAGATGTGCTAAATCAAATACTACTTAGTGAGCTCCCTCCCTTTTTGTTAATGGTTGGCGGATGGGGGGCTGATAGGTTAGGGTGTTTAGTAGTTAATGTGTGTCCTTAGGAACTATCTCATTGCTCAAGGACAGTTAGGGTGAGTATCTCCTTAATGATAATGGGTGCAAATTCACATTTTTAAGCATTAAAATTTGACGAATATTTGGCTGACCTCTCAGATCTACTATTTTCACCTTGTTATGTGGCTGGCAAAGAGGTTATACCCTGAAACGGTCAGTCTTTACATGCCTGAATTGTAACTACTATTTTTAATCCATAGATTTGTTTTTTTAAGCCACATGTGTATTTTGTGAAGGTTAGTGTAGTTAAACTGGAGAATATAATCCATAAATTCACCTCACTGCAGCATGTTGCAATTCACTTTCTGAGACTGTGGGGTCCCAAGGTCAGATCCTCTTACCACGGAACTCCCACTCTTCCAGGATATAAGGGTCTCCAGATATAGGGCTATCTCCAAGTGGACTGAATAATCGTGCCAGTGTCAGAATTAAGTAATTGTCAGGCTTATATTCTTGCTGTTTAAACTTTATGTGCAAATAGGAGTTCTGATACATTCGTCCTGGGTCACCCCAAGGTGTGCTGCATTTTGGAGAAGGGTTTAGTAGGAGCAGACAAGTGGTTAGCTGCTGTCTTTCCTGTTGCATGAAGAAATCCCATCTTCCAGTATGCAGTGGCTAGGCAGGAAATGCATTGATGGTAAAAATCTGTTAAATGGATTTTGCTGCTTATATTGTGTGGGAGTTCATATGGTTGACTCTGAATGCTGTTTACTTGTATTTTTTACTTTGCAGTACAAAATCATGGAATCATAGAAATTTAGAGCTAGAAAGGATGATTTGGAGCTTGGAGATGAAGTGGTTCAATCTTCTCATTTTGTGAGTTAGGAAACTGTGGGCAAAGAGGGAGAATCCCCCTCTGCCCTTTCCCTTAAGGTTCTTATGGCTGGCCAAATAATTAACAAGACAGGTTAGCAGGAGAAAATAATACCAAGTTTAATAACATGTATACATGGGAGAAACTCAGAAATGAGCAGTTCGTCTCTCTGTCTAAGCTGCTTGCTTAAGTATTGCAGCTAAAGGCGAGGAAGGTGTTGGGGGTGGGTGGTGGTTTGGGATTTCAGAGGGAAAGAAGACAATTCACATGGAGATAGAAATGCAAACATTTGTCTGACAACTCTTTTCAGGGCCACCTATAGAGAATGTGGCCAGGGAGAGACAGAATTTTTGATAAGAGGGGCTTGGTGCCTTTCCTATTGTAACATCTATTTTGCATTATATTACAGCCATCATGATAATAACTCCTTCCTGAAACAGATCCTTTATTTTAAATTCTTTAGGCAGTTTGGGAGGGGAAACTCAAATGTTCTTCCTGAGTTTTCTGAGTCTTTATTGTCTTCAGCTCGAAATAATCTGCATAGCAGAGTGGTGCATCTTGGGGTGGCCTGCCCTGAGCACCATCAAAACTGAGGCCCAGCATCACAGCTAGTGAATGGAAGAGCTTGGACTAGTCCAGTCTCTTCTAAATTATCCTGGTAATAAATGCAGAGCATTTAGCTGCTTGATTTCCCTCCCACCCCTCTATCTTCTAGGACTCACCCTTCAAAGGGGATTGTATTGAGAGTTAAATGAAAAGAATCAGAATTCATTTCTAATTGCCAACATATTCCCTGGTTGTCACACTAAACCTTTGAGGTGTGTCTGTGTTCAGATGTTGAGAAAATGAAATTTAATGTGGCGAACCTGTTGTTTACTCTTGATTTCTTTTTGCTTTTTCAGGAAATCTAAAGATTTTTCGTGATGATGGTGTGTTCTGGGTGACTTTCACTTGTATAGCTATTCTCGTTCCAGTAGTTTTCCTGGGCTGCCTAAGAATAGTAAGTGTTTCATCAAGTTAGATTTATTCATTATCTTGTTCTAGGCCTTCAGTTGTTCGCTTATTGCATGTTTTATTCACTAGGGAGAGCTCTATGATAATCTGTATCAGATGACTGATTCTCAATAGCCTTCTTACTATGAAAGCAAGAGTTCTAATTATGATTATTACACAGTGTTTTTCATCAAGTGGAGCAGGTCATCACTGTCACTATGCTTTTAATGGTGGGAGGAGAGAAGGTGGGCTTCCTGTAATGCAGTAACCTGATGGATCATTCGTTTTAGCTGTCTCTCCAGAAGAATGGTTTTTCATCTAATTAGACTTCATTCTTGAAGTTCTTTCACAAGGAAGATATTTTCTAGGATGAGGTAAACTCTGTTCTGAGAACTCACAATGGGTGTCAAAGGTTGTTGTCAGTTTTTCTCAGGTAACCTTTGTTCAGCTCTAAGATTTGGGTCCTTTTCATGTGTCCTGAGGAAGTGGAAGTGATTCCATGTGACTGAGGCTGGTGATGAGAGTTAGAAACTAATCTTTCTATGCAGAAATAAAAGTATAATGATGTACACCTGAAATTTATACAATGTTATAAACCAATGTTACTGCAATAAACAAAAAATTTAAAAAAAAAAGAATAACATAACACTGGGGCCGGCCTGGTGGCGCAAGCAGTTAAGTGCGTGCGCTCCGCTGCTGTGGCCCAGGGTTCGCCGGTTCGGATCCTGGGCGCACACTGACGCACTGCTTAGCAAGCCATGCTGTGGCGGCGTCCCATATAAAGTGGAGGAAGATGGGCATGGATGTTAGCCCAGGGCCAGCACTCCTCAGCAAAAAAAAAAAAAAAAAAAAAAATAAGAGGAGGATTGGCAGATGTTAGCACAGGCCTGATCTTCCTCACAAAAAAAAAAAAAGAATAATATTGGCTCATCAATTGTAACAAATGAACCACACTATTGCAAGACGTTAATAATAAGGGAAATTAGGGAAGGTTGGTGAGGAGATACTTGAGAACTTTCTGTACATTCTAAATTTTTATGTAAGCTTAAAATTCTTCAAAAAAAAAATTCTATTAATAAAAAAAAAAAAAAAGAAAGTAATCTTATTCTACCAGAGGTGACGCCTACCCTTCCATTCTTCCACAGCTCAACATACTGACTTGTGGGTTCGTTGGCTCCTATTCAGTTGTCTTGGCCGTTGACAGTTACTTGTACACAAGCCTTTCTTACATCACTTTGAATGTACTCAAGAGAGCACTCAGCACGGATTTCCGCAGAGCTCTCACAAGTGTGCCTTTTCAAACTAATGGTAAGACCCTAAATCCAAGACGCAGGGTGACAGTCAAATAGGAATGTTGGCCCACCTGTGTTACAAGAGACGCGGTAACTAGATTGAAAGGAGTTAACTGGATTAAAGGAAGGTTAACTGGACGAAAGGAAGAAACTCACACCATACAAATGCTATTAGAGCCTTTGGTTAATGATAACTCATCCTTATAGGATCAAAGAATAGAACACGATATAGTCTACACAGAAATCGAAATATAATGATGTACACCTGAAATTTATGTAATGTTATAAACCAGTGTTACCTCAATTAAAAAAATAAATAAACTTTAAGTTTGAAGTTCATACTTCTAAAAATCTGCTAAATGAACTTTATTAAGAAATTTCTAAACCAGGATTACTTCGGTTTACCTGGTCAATTCTTGGTTGCAAGAAAAATGCTGAGAATAAAGCTGTTTGGCACTTGATGGGTTGGGGTGAGATGAGAGATGAGAATGACCACTGGTTTTTTAAGTTATTCTCCTTGCCCTCCTTTAAAGAAACATGTAATTTGCTAAGTGAAAGTGAAAGTGATTTTCAATCCTGAAGTGTATTGTTTCCTCAGTTGTAAGATTCTACCCATTAAAGATTTTCCATTAACTTTTTGAAGAAAAAAAATGACTACTAAATTAAATGTTTATAAAGATTGTAAGCTATGGTGGTTTCAGAAATGGAAAAATATGGAGGATGGAAAAGCATGGCTTAGAATTGAAGATATATAAGCACAGTCGTGATTGTTATGAATTTAAGGACGAATCTTTCCCTCTACTGTCCTGACCCTGCCCTCGCTGGATAAGAGGTTGATGGTAGAGACCTCGAAATCCATGTGTCTTGGAAATTTTACGTATAAGACAATATTTTGCCAAGCCTTTTACTAGAAGCTCAGTGCAGGTTGTTGAGTCTCTTCATGCATTGCTATATCTTCTCTATATGAGTGGAGTGGGGCCCCATATAGAGTGGAAGGGGAAAAAAGAAAGCATGATGGTGTCTAATGGTCCATGATGTGCGTCTGTGAGGTATATCTAGATCGCTGCTCCCCCCCCCAAAAAAAAAAAACATAACAAACAACTGTGCCTGTGGGCACTGGTCCTAAAATGTTGGAATGCCAAGGATCCAAACAACTGATTCCTTTACAACCTGTCTGGACTTTCAAATGCCTGTAACAGAAAATTCTTTGGTTTGTAAGTAAGGAAATACGCATATATTTGGACAAATTCACCAGAAGGTCTAATATTACTGAGAAAAGATGACACAGATTCAGGCTATGAAAGGTTAAGTATTAGATCTATGTTAGATTTTAAAATACGAGTTCAAACTGTGGTTTTTTACTGTTATTTATTTATTTTTCTACTGTTTTTTAGACTTCATTATCCTGGCAGTATGGGGGATGCTGGCTGTAAGTGGAATTACGTTACAGATTCGAAGAGAACGAGGGCGACCGAGTTTTCCTCCCCACCCGTACAAGCTGTGGAAGCGAGAGAGGGAGCGCAGAGTAACAAACATTCTGGACCCTAGCTACCACATCCCTCCATTGAGAGAGAGGCTTTATGGCCGATTAACCCGGATCAAAGAGCTCTTCCAGAAGGAACAGCCAGCTGGAGAGAGAACACCCCTGCTTCTATAGATGCCAAAGGGCTTGGTGACTGTGATCTCGAAGTACAACCCAGGTACTGCCTCAGCTTTGGCATTTATGCCCAGCCTGCTTCAGCAATCTCCAGGGCAAGTCTAATGGGGAAACAGGCTTCTGTGCTTCTATGCTCTGTACAGTATTGTGGTATCTTTATTGATCTATGGTAAGTGTATGCCAGGGAGATGATGATAATTCTAACAGAGTGAGAAAGATGACCAAGAAGTTGGTGGTAAGGAGGCTTTTCCTTATTCCCAAATACTTAAGAAATTACGTTTTGGTTTACAAATATATGATCAACTTAAATAGATACACTAAAAAAAAATTTTTTTTTTTTTTTTTTTTGTGGGGGGGACCAGCCCTGAGCTAACATCCAATGCCAATCCTCCTCTTTTTTGCTGAGGAAGACTGGCCCTGGGCTAACATCCATGCCCATCTTCCTCTACTTTATATGGGACGCCGCCACAGCATGGCCTAACAAGCAGTGCGTCGGTGCGCACCCGGGATCCGAACCGGCGAACCCCGGGCCACCGCAGCGGAACGTGCGCACTTAACCGCCTGCGCCACCGGGCTGGCCCTACTAAAAAAAAATTTTTTAAAAATGATTCTCCTGTAAAGCCCTGGTATTTCTTTCTTTTCTTTTTTCATTCTTTCTTTCTTTTTTTTTTTTTTTTTGCTGAGGAAGATTGGCCCCTAGCTAACATCTCTGCCGCTCTTCCTCTATTTTGTTTGTGGATCGTTGCCACAGCATGGATGACGAGTGGTGTAGATCCACTACCAAGATCTGAACTCACAAACCTGGGCCACCAAAGCAGAGTGCGAAGAACTTGAACCACTCGGCCACGGGGCCAGGCCCCTGGTATTTCTTTTTATAACTTCTTGGACAGTTCTCTCACCCGAGTCTGTCTAAATTTGGGGGACAGGGGCACAGAGGGTGGTTTTGTTTAAAAGTGTTAGATTGAGTCTTTATTTGCCACTGTGTTTGGAGGTCTAAGGATTTGATACTGGGCCTTTGAACTTCACAGTACAAAAGGAGGAGACCTAACTTATTTTCTTGCTAAAAAAAGCAGTCTGATTACTTAGTTACATCTTTCTGAGTATCTTATATTATTAAAAGGTACTCTTCTTTTTATTTTTAATTGTGGTAAAATACACATTTACCATATCAATCATTTTTAGGTGCATAGTTCGGTAGGTGCCCTTTGTTTTTTCCTTTTATTGATTAAAATGTTAAATAGCTAAATTTTTCAATTACTTGAAACTAGGTCAATTTATATAGATAATAGAAGTTTTATATGGATGATTTATTTATATTCCAAACAACAGCGTTTGTTTTTTTTCTTTCAAGACCTTTTAAAATAATGTTGACAGCTGATCTCTAAACTGCACTGGCTGACATATGAGTTCTGTTTTTAGGAAACAAATTGTCTCCTACTTAATCTATAGTCCCAATAATGAGGAAACCTTTAAAAAATTTGCATTTTGTAGTTCTTTCTGCTAAATTAGTTATTAGCATTGATGTAAAATATAATTTCGAAAATTTTCTTTTCTGTATGAAGCCTTTGTACCATTTGTGTTTTTTTCTTTTTCTTTTTTTTTCTTTTTTTGTGAGGAAGATCAGCCCTGAGCTAACATCCATGCTAATCCTCCTCTTTTTGCTGAGGAAGACGGGCTCTGAGCCAACATCTATTGCCAATCCTCCTCCTTTTTTTTCCTCCCCCCTACAGCTCTAGTAGATAGTTGTATGTCATAGTTGCACATCCTTCTAGTTGCTGTATGTGGGACGTGGCCTCAGCATGGCCAGAGAAGCAGTGCGTCAGTGCGCGCCTGGGATAGATCCCAACCCAGGCCGCCAGTAGCGGAGCGCGCACACTTAACCGCTAAGCCACGGGGCGGCCCCCATCTGTGTTTTAAAGTGAGGGGGAAGGAGTCGGAAAGGATTCAGGTGTTTAATTGAGCCGCTTTTAATTAGGGCCTTGGATTCTGTAAGGAGAGTCCCTTTGGTTTTGACCCTTTTTTCCACCACGGGAAAGCACCTAGATGCCCTGGCTGCACACCTATCCTCGAGGCCTTTTCTCTCACCTGTCAGGGTCTCTGCCACCAGTTCTGTCTTGGATTTTAAGCTGGAGACTCTGACATGCCTGAGGGGTAGTGAGGTCGCCTGTGGTTGTTGCATATACATTTGTGAGTTAACCACTATTTAAATGATGCTGCTTTTAAGAGTTTTTCAAAGTACAATAGATTTTGAAGTTTTAGGTAACTGGAAAAATGTTCGACTTTTGCTTTAAAAGTGTTGCGGAAAGGCTGAAACAAAATGAAAAAATGTAAAACTAATCATTTTTGCTTAGAAAAATTACACACAGGTGTTCGTTTACTATTTATTCTAATCCTCACTGTTTATATAACTTCAATAACACTTAAAGTTGAAGAAAAAAATGTTCATTTTTTTAAAGTAATTCTCTGTAAGGCTTCTGGCTTCTACCATATCTTTGTACATTCTAACAAAGTTATATGGAATGTTTGTGAGTTATTTCTTATGTCATCAAAATGCACAGCCAGTGAAGATTGTAAAGACAGAATACACTTTTTTGGAAGGGAAATACAAATTGTTTAAAATTTTTCATGATAATTTGTGAGTAATAAAAAGCCAGTTTGTATAATTTTTTTAATAATAAATACCTATTTTGAAAAAAATGTTAAAAAGACTCATTATTATAAAACAGTTTCATAGCTACAAAAACAAAATTATTTAATCTGGACAAACAATTCTTTATTTTAAAAAATCAGTTCAAGCATGAGTGAAATAATACGAAATGAAGGAAATCTGGGGCAGTGTATTAAAATTTATATCCTTTGTTAGAAGGAAGGCTGATGTCTCCAATGGATTAATTTATGTTGGTGTCATTAGCACTTCAGATGTGTCAAACTGAATAAAAGTAGTAATATGACCAGAAAATGTTATACTACTCTTTAAATGTTTTGGTTCTGATTAACCTGTTACAGGTTTGCTACCAGGTTGCCAAACCACAGCAGCTAACCAGTGCTATAGACCAGTTGAATTCTGTAGAAGGTGGGATAGAAAATTGATTCTAACAAAGAAATTGCTGGAATATTAGACCAGGAATGTACTTCAGAGATCATGTTATTTGATCCTTTTATTTTATACTTGAGAAAATTCTTGACCAAAGAGTTAATTATGTGAAGTCACAGTTATCAAATAATAGTGACCAGGTGAAAATTTGGGATGCCTGACTCCCTATCCAAATGTGCTTTATCATAATGAAAATGTAAATCATTGATTATTTTCCATTTTATTCTGCTGGTGAATTGGTAGGGAGCTCCTAATGTTAACAATGCAATGATCTCTTCTTTTGGGGAGTTACTAATTTTACACAGTGAAAACATGTTTTTCCACGTTAATTCTCTGATGGACCATTTCTTATTCATTTCAAAGTACATAATAGACACTTAAAATTTCTATTATCCATAAATATTTTATTTCCACATCAGCATTTGTGTAGAACTTTTGGACATAAAATTCACTCCTTGATGATGTACTTGATACCTGTTATTAATCGTCATTAAAATCCCAGAATTCTTGGCTCTAATTTCTTGAGAACTAAGCCTCCTCTGGGGGCTTTCGCATTGTGCCACTTGGGAAGGAGGCCATCCGTGTTTTCCTTTTTGTTATGGACTGAATTGTTTCCCCCCAAAATTCATATGCCAAAGCCCTAACCCCCAGTACCTCAGAATGTGACTGTATTTGGCGAGAGAGCTTTAAAGAGGTAATTAAGTTAAAATGAGGCCATTAGGGTGGGCCCTAATGCAATGTGACTAGTGTCTTCCTAAAAAGAGATTAGAACATAGACACGAGGGGGAATTCCATGTAAGGACACAGTGAGAAGGTGGCCATCTGCAAGCAGAGGAGAGAGGCGTCAGAGGAAACCGGCCTTGATCTTGGACTTCAGCCTCCAGAACCGTAAGAAAATAAATTTCTGTGGTTTAAGTCACCCCAGTCCATGGTATTTTGTGATGGCAGCCCTAGCCGACTAATCCACTTTACAAATCCTTTTACCCTGGTTGTTGATTGAAAGATCTCTGGGCACTTAGGTCACTGCGTTTGCAAGGACCACTCTTTTTATGAAATTGAGGTAGAGAGGGGCTCAAGTTAGTGGAAACGTGGGCTGACCCGGGGACTTCCATGCAGTCATTACACTGGGGAGGTTGGCAGGTCTGGATCAAGCTACATCAGCACAAGAGGCAAAATAAAAAAATTATAATGCAATGATAGTAGTCTTTCACTTGGATCTCACCTTCACTCATTCGAGAAGCACTTGTTGAGTTCCTAAGTGCCAGGCATTGCCTTGGGCACTAGGAAGAAGACGGCAAACAACACAGGCCTGGTCCCTGCTTCCCGGCTTAGAGTGTGATAAGTGAGACAGATACTAACATAGTTATACAAAAAAGGTACAATATGCAAAGAAAATTTATAATGGAGTGGGCGTAGAGTCTGGGATGCGAGGGAAGAATTCCTTGAGGAAGTGACATTTAAGCTGAGACTTGGAGGATGAGTAGGAGTAACCAAACCACAAGCAGGCTCAGTGAATTCTGTGTAGTGGGGGAGAAGCGTAAACAAAAGCCTCAAGGCCTCCCCTTCTCATTATGGAGAGTCCCCAGTGGGAGTCTCCCTGCGTGCCCAGCCAGTCATTACTGCCCTTCGTTTTTGTGCTGGGTGGGGTCAGTTCTCCCATTCTCAGCTTTTGGCATTTTGAGCAGCTGATCCAGACAGAATGTCGTCAGTCTTTTTTCTTTAATTGAGATATAATTGGCATGTAACTGTGTAAATTTAAGGTGTACATGGGGTTGATTTGATACATTTATATATTACAATATGATTACCACCAGTTTTGTAGTACAGTTAAAATTTAAGGAGCAAGAGAAGACTGACAATAAAAATAGAACTAACATACGATCCAGCAATTCCACTTCTGGGTATACAGCCAAAGGAATGAAAACAGGATCTCAGAAAGGTATCTGTACTCCCATGTTCACTGAGGCATCTTGCTTTTTTATTTACCTTTCTTTTTCAGTTCCTCCCAAGGCCCTAGAATTTAGCAATTGTTCCCTGGCAGGTGGGTCAGAACACTTGAGTGACCCTCAAGCTGTGGCCCTCAAAATCCTTCCTTCTATTGCAGAGTCCTATACATAATGAGTACGTATAGTATACCTGACTCTGTTGCCCACAGGGTGAACTCCTTCCCTTGGAAGGAAGTTAAAGAATGGCTACAATTACCTTTTTACTTTGAAGTCTTTAAGGGCTAAAAGGCTTATTCTGTCTCATGTGAGGTTCACGGCTCCTCTGCTGGTGGATTCTCTACCGCTCAGACTAGTTTGAACGTGCTCCGGCCTGCCTGAACTCATGGCGGGCACACCAGGAAGAGCATGGACGCCTGTATCTGGGAGTTTTGAGGAAAGAAGAAGAGGGTCAGAAAATGACTGCAACTGGAAGAAACAAGTGAGACATACTAAGTGTGCCTTTGCCCGCCAGTTCTCCCTGGGCTGTGTTTTCAGCAATTGAACCAGAGCTCAACTCCTTTTTAAAATAAACCATTGCCTCATTTGGATAAGGAGACTATCTATGTATCAAAATTCCTTAAAACAACTCAAATATATGTATTATTAGGGCTGAGCCTAGGGTTCTGGAAGACAATTTCAGGGACAGGATTGAAGGCTGCTTCTCTGAAAAAAACTCATCTTGCTTATGCATGCCTGAAGGTTTTTCAACAGAGAGCAATCTTCCATTCCAAAAGTAGAACTACTCGGCTTTTTTTCCAAACCAGCTCTTCCTCTCTAATTCCTTCAATAATATATACCAGTGATTTTCTTTCTACTGAATAAAGACGGTGATGTTTTTAGCCTCTTGTATCCTATATATGTCTAGAGTCTGCATGAACTTAGGTACGAAAACCTTATGATCATTGAGCTAGGTCTTAAAATGAACATATTCTAGAGGAAGTTAACATTTGAGAAATTCATTCACTTGATCTTACATCAGCCTTTGATTTGATAGGACGGAGCACTTGACCACTGAGTGGTGCTGAAATCTGAGACAAAGCTGACAAATCCTTGTCATTTTAAAGTAGCCAAAGGCTAGCCCTATTCATCTTCAACTGTATGTACAAACAAAAGCAATGTGCTGAGGCGTGGGGTTGTGTACAACCATGACAGGCACAAGCTCTTAGGGAACACTGATTCTAAGCGGCTTTTTTTTTTTTTTTTATTTTATTTATTTTATTTTTTCCCCCCAAAGCCCCAGCAGATAGTTGCATGTCATAGCTGCACATCCTTCTAGTTGCTGCATGTGGGACTCGGCCTCAGGATGGACGGAGAAGTGGTGCCTCGATGCGCACCCGGGATCCGAACCCGGGCCGCCAGCATTGCAGCGCGTGCACTTAACCACCAAGCCACGGGGCCGGCCCAAAGCGGCTTTCTTCTTTCTTAGTTTTATAGAAAGCCCAAATGTAGCCTTCCTATCAATGTGTGATACTTGAGAAGTATATCCTGTGTTTCAAGATTAGTATATTTTTAGTCTGGGTCCAATTCTACCTACTGATATTGATTTCAATATAGTGAATTTTCCGAAGGCTTTGGTTACTCCAAGACAGTGGGTTTACTCTTTTCCTTTTGCTCATATGTTGAAAACCTTGCAAGGGATTTCACTAACTGAAAAAATCAAAGTGAGGAACCAAGATGTATATTAAGATACCAATTGTGTGTATACATATTTTTAAAAACGTATTTATAGAAAGGTTTTTATGACACAAGAAACTTGTAATGACCTCTGGGAAGACACAGGTTGTAGGAAGAGGCTGACTTACTCTGAATTGTATATTTTCTGAATGCTGGATTTTTAACCATGTACATTTATTTTTCCTTTATTTTACATAAAAGATAAATTATAACAAAGATGAACAAAACCTAACAAACTTCTTGGAATTTCTATGCCAGAAATTAAAGTACAGTGCATAAACTATGTATACGGATGTTTAATGTAGCACTGTTTTGTGTTAACAAAAAGTGCAAACAATCTGACTATCCACCAATACAGGAAATAGTTGAATAAATTATGATACATTTATACAATGATAGTTACAAAAAACTTTGGTTTGCAGACAACAGAAACTGACTAGTGTATGCAAACGATGGAATTAGTTGGAAATATACTGATGTTATTTGCTTCTGGACATTTCTCCTTATGCATTTGGTATTTACATAGTTGTAATTATATGTGCAATTTAGTATTAAGCTTTGTATTAAGCTTTGTATTAGGCAAACTGAGGTACATTTAGGTACATGTTTTTCTTCCTGTTGCTAATCTTCAAGCCATAGTATAAAATAAACCACACTGAGTAGATATGGATAATTTACTTTTAGATTATTTTTTTCCCCCTTTTTCTCCCCAAAGCCCCAGTAGATAGTTGTATGTCATAGTTGCACATCCCTCTGGTTGCTGTATGTGGGGCCACCTCAGTATGGCCGGAGAAGCGGTGCGTCGGTGTGCGTCCGGGATCCGAACCCTGGCCGCCAGTAGCGGAGCGCGCGCACTTAACCGCTAAGCCACAGGGCCGGCCCCTCTTTTAGATTATTAAATTAACTAAATTTAAATTAAATTTACTGTTTCCCTATTGTAAGATATTTAGGTTGAATCCAATTTGCTCACTCTAGCACCATCATAATGTGGCTTTAACCAGGGGAAGCAGGGGAGATGGCGAGAAATGGTAGGATTCTGATATATTTAGAAGGGAGAGTTGACAGGATTTGCCAATAAATCAGGTGCAAGATAAAGAGGAAGTGGAGTCAAAGATGCCACCAAGGTTTTTGGCCTTAGCAGCTGGAAAGAGGGAGTTGTCATCACCTGAGATGGGGAAGAACATGGAGAGATCTGAGAGTAACATTGGGAGTTTAGCTTGGACATCTCAACTTTGAGATATCTCTTTGATAGTCACAGTTGGATGATTCAGGAGTTAATGAGAGGTCTAATGAAAGCTGTAAATTCGGAAGTCAACAGCATACAGGTGGTAAAATCATGAGATTAGTGAGATCACCAAGAAAGTGAGTACAGATGCAGAACAGGAATAAGGACTGAGTCCTGTGGCTCTCTGTTAAGTCAGAGAGAAGATAGGAACAAAGGAGACTGAGGGGCGGCCAATGAGGTAAAAAGAAAGTGTCCCATCAAACTCCAATTAGAAATTATTCTTTGGCCGCCCCGTGGCTTAGCGGTTAAGTGCGTGCGCTCTGCTGCTGGCGGCCCGGGGTTCGGATCCCGGGCGCACCGACGCACCGCTTCTCTGGCCATGCTGAGGCCGTGTCCCACATACAGCAACTAGAAGGAAGTGCAGCTATGATATACAACTATCTACTGGGGCTTTGGGGGGGAAAAATAAATAAAATTAAAAAAAATATATTGAAGAATAAATTTTCAATTATTCAAAAATCTTCAATATTTTTTTTTTCAATAGGGAGGGTTTTAATTTTATTTTTTTTCCCCAAAGCCCCAGTATATAGTTGTATATCATAGCTGCACTTCCTTCTAGTTGCTGTATGTGGGACACGGCCTCAGCATGGCCAGAAAAGTGGTGCGTCGGTGCGCACCTGGGATCTGAACCCGGACCGCCAGCAGCGGAGCACGTGCACTTAACCGCTAAGCCACGGGGCCAGCCCTCATCAATATTTCATTAAAAAATGTACCCCTCTTTTACTCTGACAGTCAAAAAGAGGTAGTAGTCACCAAAAATTAAGTTTGGATTTATGATCTTCCATTCATCAAGGCAATTTAGAAATATAAAATTTTGGAAGTCACTTTGATATTAAAGAATATCAAAGAATATCAATTTGAGCAGAAAACACTTTATCTGTGATGTATATAATTGGTTTTTTTAGAATTGTATTCCCTGTATGAAATGAAAAATATAGTGGATAGATGATAAATATAACAGATGATGTATTCGTTTCCTAGGGCTGCTGTATCAAACTACCAAGGCTGGGTGACATAACAGAAATTTATTCTCTCACAGTTCTGAAACAAGAAGGCCGGAAATCTGAAATCAAGCAGGGTTGGTCACTTCTGGAGGCTCTGAGGGAGAATTCATTCCATGCTCCATGCCTCTCTCATAGCTTCTGGTGGCCCCTCACAATCCTTAGGGTTCCTTGGGTTGCCTGACTCTCTGCTTGTCTTCACATGGCTTTCTCCTTGTGTCTCTCTGTGTTTCAAATCTCCTTCTCTCTATACGGACAACAGTCATTGGATTTAGGGCCCATCCTAAATCCAGGAGGATCTTATCTCGAGATCCTTAAATCTGCAAAGACTACTCGCAAATATGGTCACATTCACAGGTACAGCAGGTTAGGACTTGGGCATACCTATGGGGGGACACCATTAAATGCACTACAGATGATAAAAAAGGTTTGCAGAATCAGCAGTGAGTTGCTAGCCAATTCCTAAGAAATACAGATCGAACTTGTTGCTAAGTACTAGTATTGTGGTAAGAAGAGACAAGAAGCCCTAAAAATAAACTATATGTAATAATAAAGGTAAGCATTGTTTTCAAATTAAATTGGAGACCATACGAATTTTATTCACTCATCTTTATTGATAAAATAGGCTCCTATGCAGTACATACTCTCAGACATAAATTTAAGGTTCTGCTTTAAAAAAAAAAAAGTATGGGATGGAAAACTGTTGCTATATAACAAAGTAAATGTCTTTAAACACAAAGATCTTAAAATTATATCCAAGTAAGAACACCAAGAATAAATTAACTCAACTTATTTGTTTACAAAAATAATTATTTATCAAGTAATGTTTTATAATAGAGCTGCCTCAATGAACTGCCTCAGACTAAATCTCAATGGTGTAACTTATTTTCTTAAATTCTGACTTGGGATGAAAACTATATAAATGAATGTACTGTCAAAGTAAGGGCTACTTTCCCAAAAATCAATAGAAAGGTTTAAAAATAAAAACTGTCATTTATTTATAAAATATCAGTTAAGGCCTCTGAATGAGAAAGGAAATCTAATGTTAGGGCCATTAGCCCTTTTCTATTCAATTAGCCCCATCAACCCCACTTACTCCAAACTTAAGATAGAAAAATTCTGAAGTGAAAAGTAGTTTTGAATTTTACCAACATATGAAATTATACATAAAAATCACCATGTGAATATTTCTTTAACAAATTATATACTCAAAAGTAGAATTTTCTATTGTGCTAATTTTTATATTTAATATAAATGAGTATAACATATTTAATCATATTTGATGCTCTTATTTTATCCTTTTATTCTATAACCACCACAAAATAAGAAAAATTTAGATTTCAATTGATGTTAAAGCACATTTCTATTTCTGGTAGCTTTTAAAAATTTACATACTGGATATGTATTTTGTAAAAAATCAAACAAATACATCTAAATCCATAGATTTTTTCCCCCTTTTGACTGAAAAGTTATAAGAAGACTCTTACAGCCTTGAGGACCAGATAGAGCTTAAGAATAGATCCAGAAAAATTATTTTTCTTTGAAATTTTATTTTTTCTGTATCTCTTAAGAGTAATTACTTTTAAAAAAAAGAGTTCTATGAGGCAGAGGAATTCTCAATTTACTTTGAAATTACCATACCTAGCTTGTTATATCAAACATTTCAACTCTGTTAGCTAAATGAGCTACATAATATCCTTAAAGATCAACCAGAGAAGAGAAAAATCTCATCTTCATTACTGATTTAGAACCAAAACTTATTCTTTCTAGAGTAGTTTAACCTACTAAATATGTCTCTTATAAGATCTTCTTTCTTAGAAAGTAGTATTCCTTCTCTTTCATTCCTGAAATATTTCATATACTTAAACAAGTTATGGATAATTGTTAGCTGAGTATTAATTATGGTAAATTAGCTAAAATTAAATTACCTCTTTTGTTTATGGTGCATATAAAAGATTCCTACAGCCTCTCAAACTGAATTTTCTTTGACAAAAATTTAAATAATAAAAGTAGACAGGCAATCATTAAAGTTGAAGTCTCATGGTACACAAGCTATTTGTTAGCTTTGACACAAAAGACGGAGGATAAAATTTAACATGACAATTTTCCATTCACAAAACCATGGCAAAATTTGTATTTTAAAATTGGGATACTTTTATGAATTCCCAACATTTATTGGGAATGTGTTTATCCAAGTATCATCCAGAAGGCCAAGAGCACTGCTGAAAGCTCCTGATATGTTCAGCCGTCGCTGTGAAAATCTTTCCTTTGTTCACCAATTAACAAAGGCTTAGTTTTTACTTTTCAATTATATTTTGGAATAAAGTCTATGACCATTAACTATGCATTTTTTGTTGCTATCTCTTAAAAATGTCATTGCCAGTGCACTGTACATATTATAGAAAAAAAAATAAAGGGCAGCTTGAGATTGATTTTTCTGTTAATTCATTCATTTTAGCAGGCCGGTCCCAGTGACCATTTGCAGCCTGGTAAGAAGCTCGCAGACTTAGAAGCTCTTCAGCTCTTCCGCAGGCTCAGGTCAGTATTGGTCACTAATGCTGACAAAGACGTACTTTCCGACACATCATCTTTCCTAAGGTTCAAAAATGACTCTCGAGTTATTTGAAGGATCTCTCTCAAGCCTTTGTTTTCTTGCTGTAAGAAGGCAAACAAAAATAAAGATGGAGTCACCATGGTGGCTATAAGAGAACAAACATAGCTTAAGAAAAGCCAAACATATAAAGGTTTGACAAATAAAAAGCAAGTTCTGTAATTGGCAGAAATGTACTAAATGATATATGCAGTTGAAGCTGACAACTTGAATCCACAGAACACTTTTTTAAAGAGATAGTAATTCTGTGTTCAATGTCTTCCACCACTGCAGAGCCTTCTCATTCATGCAGCTGTAATCATAGATGGAACCTCAGAAATTGGCTTATTTTACAATCACAGCATGGATGAAGAAAATAACATCTAGATTTATATTTATATAAACTCAGAAAGCCTGTGAATAATACACCGGGACTAGAACCTCTTAGTACTTTGGTTCTTTTATTACTTTCCATGATAGCATGGAATGCAGGACAAGCCATCTGGTTTGCTTCCCTCACTGGAATTTGACAGCAGCAGGGCTGGCTGAGTAGATGGTGACATTTTTCAAGAAGGAAAGTAAGTGGCCAAATCTAGCAATGGTAACAACTTTCCCTTTTTTTTCTAGATTAGTTACTGCAAGAAATTTGCAGACATTTAAAAATAACTTTCATAATTTATTCTTTACTACTCTGTCTTTGGTCTTAGAAAGTTTCCGTGGTATAAAGCAGGGATCAGCAAACTACGGCCTGGCTTGAGGCCTGTTATTATAAGTTAAATTTTACTGGAACATAGTTAAGCCCAATCCTTTTTTTGTGTATGGTTGCTTGTGCATTACAATGGCAGAGTAGAGCAGTTGCAACAGTGACTGTCTGGTTTGCAAAGCCTAAGAGATTTACTACCTGGCCCTATACTGAAAACGTTTGCTTACCCCTGTTATAAAGAATGACAGAACACTGTATGCTTAGAGGGAGAAATCATTTTTGGCCCTCTATAACCAATTTCTCCATCATGATTTCAAAATGAAGCTTTTCAAGTATAAAAGTCTATTCTACTGATTTGAACTATTCAACATTGTGCATTCATTACCACAAAATCAAGGACAGATGAGACAAAAGATTTTATACTCCCCAGAAAAATACAAGCGCCCAAAGAATATTATCTGTGGACTAAAAATTTCTTCCCTGCGTCACTGTGATCTCTAATAGAATAAAGAAATTTTTAAAATTACTAAATTGAAGAAGTATATTCACCTAATAACAGAAGCAACACAGCATCAAAAAATCAGTTTTCTCAAACACAAGTTACTACTGATCCTAGACTCCTTCATTACTGTATAAATGGTCTTGCATTGTACACCCATATAACCAGTATCCAGATTAAGAAAAAGAACATTACCAGTATCCCACAAAAGTACATAAATATTTAAAAATGGGATATATTTTCTGGCATAAATCTTTGTATGGACAGTTGTCACCTACATTTGCAATTTAAAACTTACTTCAAGTTGAAGTATTCGTTCCTGTTCCTTGCAACCCTGTTGCTCGTCAATTTCAATGGCTTTCCTCATTACTGCTGCCATTTCAGTTATCTGGTCAACATGTGCTTGTAATTCCTGAAAAAAAGAAATGGGAGTTGCAAATCAGTGAAACACTTCATTATTTTTATTTTTGGATCCTCTCCTTTTTATAAAATCTGCATTGCCACTTAATATGAATGCAATATTCTTACATTGTCATTTAACATGAATGTAATATATCAAACAGATATTTATAAGAAAGTTGACTGACCATGAACGTGCTTTTGAATCAGATTTCTGTTAGGACTAAAATTAAGGATAAGCAGCACAATACAACTAAACTCACTAGCAAAAATAGTACTCATATGTCACATTGCTCTCACCACAAACGATCAGCAACTTTTTCTTTTTTGCACCTACATATATTATCGATCAAAGTAACGGGAAAGATAAACATTGTTGACGCATTCAATCTCTTTTCCCCTGAAGTTTTCATGATTTACAAATCTTTTCTGTATTATACATGCCTAAAAATTGATCTCATTCCAATCCAGAACATTTTCTAGATTATAATCCTCCTTGAGAGCAGGAACTGTACCTTGTTTATATTTGCCTATTATTTAGTATTCAGTACATAACAGATAATAAATATTGAGTAAAATGAACAGAGTTCAAGTATTAAAATATTAAATGACTTTCTTTGCAAACTGTTCAAAATAAAACTTCAGTATAAAATAGACATCCACATTTCTTTGTGCAGCAAGTAGCATAAATTTCTTCCAATCTCATTCTTATTCGTTTTTGCACACCTACGATGTGCCAGGCACTGTGCTAGGCAATACCAATATGAAGCCTGTTAAGACATGTTCCCTGATTTCAAGGAGCTTACAGTCAAGTGAAAGAGACAGACAAAAGTTTAAAATCAACAGAAACTTGAGAATAATCATTTTCTCAATGAACAGCTTCTATAGACCATTGTTCACTGGCAATCGAAGGTTATTTTATTATATTAAGGCCAAATCTTACACATAAAAGTTAATAGCTTCCCAAATAAATATTGTCTCTTAAATAGTTGTATATACTGTATTTGTAAAAAGGATTTGAACAGGACCTCCCTAAACCTACAAAACTGGTAAACTATAGAAGAAATATGGAGAACAAATAGGAATATCTTTAGTAAACCACACATTTAATACATTCTTAACCAACAAAAATAATTATATTAACGGGGAAACCTATACAATGCTAGTATGCAGAAAGAAGGCAAAATAAAGGACTAATCTACACAGTTCAATATGGTGCTATTTAAATTTAAATTAATTAAAATCAAATACATTTAAAAAAATTAACAATTTAGTCCTTCAGTTGCACTAGGGACACTTCAAGTGTTCAATAGCCACATGTGGCTGGTGGCTTCCATATTGAACAGCAACAGATAAAAAACATTTCCATCATTTCAGAAAGTTCTATTGGATAGCTCAGGATTAGATTATGGCAGCAAGAATGATATCAAGACAAACATCTGTCATATTCTGCAATAGTTAAAAAAAAATGATTAAAATACCTCCCACTGTAAAGGGAGCATAATGTTTAAAAGCAAGTTAAGTACGGATAATTGCAGCAGCAAATTGAATAAGGGTAATGAGTAAAAATTTTGAATACCAACAGCTTTCTCAGTTTATGATTTGGTGTCCTATGGCACTGACCTAGATTAAAAGACTACACAGGAAGCAAATAATTCTTTACCCTTAAAAATGGAAGAAAACAAGATACCACTAATTTTTCCAGGACAGAGCCTGTTCTAACACAATCATCATGAGAAAAAAAACCCCAATAATTCAAACAGAACAGTATTTTTATAAGCCCAGTTCATCGATGGTTCACTTATTACAATAAAATCTTTAGGGAAATATCATAGATCTTTTAATGGGTATGAGAGCGCAAGACCTGTGCTTTCAAAACTGTCGTAAAGGCAAAAAGTGTCAGGAGCGTGATCCTTCAACTGTCTTGAAATGCCTTTCATTTGTAACTTTGGTTTAGGTTTATTTCAACTTTGCTCAATAGAGACCTTCCACAATTAAGTTAAAGAAAAACAAAAGACAGTTAAGACATAATGGAGAGTGTACTACTATACTTATCATAACATCTAAACAAAGGCATTTTTAGTGTGAACTCGAACTAAAGGACTATAAAATATTAAAAATCTGGATTAAAACAGTTCATTTAACAGTTTGCTTTAACAAAATTTTTATGAAATCAGATTAACATTACTGCCAAGAAAACACTTTTGATGTCCAGAAAGAGAATAACTGTTTAAAGCTTACTAAAATTTTGCAGCAACAGTTAACAAGAGCAACAAAACGAAAAGCTGGCCTAACAACCTTTAAAGCCTGCATTTATCTAATAGGCTGGGTATGACACAATACACAGAGAATTAATGACAGATTTAAAGTTTCTACACTGAATATTTTTGCACGGCCATCAAAAGCACAGCATTTCTTAAAACAATTTCATTTATTTGCTGATTTAATCTGGCAGCAAAATTCAACGTAAAAGAACTTTTTAAATGGAGCCCCCCTTCCATCCACACCCCAAAAGTTGACTGTTTTATTTAGTGTACATTCTGATTTCCTTCCAAGTGCCTCCTCTCCAGTCCATGTTGAGATGCTTCAAGGATGTGTCGAGATGCATCAAGGAAGAATCCTTCGGAGTTGTTACGATGTACCATGTCAATCTGTAGTATAGAGTCATTATAATGTTAATACGGATATTATCCGTAATTTAAAAACTGAATGAGTGTTAGTTCATGCGTGTTAGCCAACTGTTTGAAATGTTTGCTTTTTTAAAATTTCCAAAAAGGCATCTGTTCAAAAATAATGTAAAAATGAGTATTTGGATGAAAATGAGTTCTCAAACATTTTACTGATTTTTAAATGAGTGCTGAAAAACTTCTAGGTGAGGGCAAAATTCTATATTACAGTAGTCTCAAAAGGGTCTCTTACTCAAAAATGCTGTTACATGTTAACTCTGTTTGTCACCCCTAAATGTGATATAAAATTATTTTTGTGTTTAGGCATATCAGCACTAGCACCTAAACATGTCCTGGAATCTCCTATTTCTGTGCCTTTATCACACAAGTTTCTCTGCTCATCCACTTCTGCTTATGGGCCCCCACCCCAATAATTAATTCAAGGCTGGATTTAGATGGATTTCTTCCTTTCCTTGACACATTCCCAGATTCTCCTCATGAGAAATAATCTTGCTTCCTCTAGTATTCCAGTAATAATTCATATCTCTATTTTAGGATTCATCACATCCTACCTTATATTAGATGGTTATGTTTGTATCTGTATCTCCCAATACACTGTAAGCTCCTATGGTAGAGTAACAGAACTTATTCATTCATTCATCTTATTATTAATAATAACTAAGCCAGTGCAGGTGTTAATAAATGTTTAATTGAGTCGAAGTGTCTCCTTTTTGGGAAAAATCAAAATCACAAACATTAATATGTATTAGTTAGAATTAATAACAAGTAACTGAACAGTCATTTTATGAAAGGCAAGGATCAGCACTTAGATGAAGAATTCAATCTACATAATGAAAAAGGATGGCTTACAGCTATCTTAAGAAATGTTTAACTTTGCTAATTAATAAAACAGCTCTGGTGAATGGTAAAATCTAATGTGTTTTAGAAAACATTTGCTTCTGTCGTAGATGCTACCAGATGGGACTAGCAAGTTGCAGTATCTTATTCTAAGCACTTTGAGTATTCTTCTCTTTAGATCTTAAAAAATTTATTTCTTAGGTTATTAAACATAAGGGCCTTTTGGAATTTCTCAAGATTACATTTATTTTACCAATAATTTTAAGTCAATTCATCTTTGCACCTTAAAAAAAACTTTTGAGTTATACATTTAAATTTAAATGTTTTTATAATGATCGATCTCATTAACAATAGATACACTTTATATTCAAAAGATTGCCACTTAAATATCCAAGATTTTCCTTTTGTTTAGGAAATGAATAGCATAATTAGATAACATTAAACCCACATTTGTTAATTTAATTTATTATTTTACTATTTGACACAAGAAGTATCTATTACTAACTTCTTTAATATGTAAAGTTGTCACACAAAGATCTATTTACTAGGTATTGAATTTTAATAGAATAATTAATAATTTAAAAATACATACAAGCACCAAGGTGGAAGAAATATTTTAAAGAATCTAAAATGTGTTTCAATAATTGGGAAAGATAGGACCGGCCCGGTGGTGCAAGCGGTTAAGTGCATGCGCTCTGCGGCGGCGGCCCGGGGTTCGCCGGTTCGGATCCCGGGCACGCACTGATGCGCCGCTTGTCAAGCCATGCTGTGGCCGTGACCCATATAAAGTGGAGGAAGATGGGCACGGATGTTATCCCAGGGCCAGTCTTCCTCAGCAAAAAAAAGAGGAGGATTAGCAGATGTTAGCACAGGGCTGATCTTTCTCACACAAAAAAATAAATAAATAATTAAGATAAAAATGTCTTATAACAATCAATATTTCTTAAATAATATTAGTTATAACTAATAATAGCTCACCATTATCCAATACAGATAATAACCTAGTAATTATAATCTATTCTAATATTTTTATTTCACACCAGCAGTTAAAATTCAGTTTAAAATAAAATGTAAATGGGAAAGGATTATTCTACTTGCCTTCATAGCAGTTGCTAGCAAACATAGGGACATACACAAGGGGACAGACACAGGGATGACAACGAGTAAGATGAACAGAAGGAAAAACACTAATTTCTAACCAGTTCAGCTCTGTCTCTAAAAATGATGTTAACTGATACATGATTTGGCGGCAGGGGGACAAAATTTCAATATATTGGTTCTTTTCCTCTCCTTCACCCCATGGTTTTTCCATTATAATCAGGATTATTTAGAGTCTGGATGAAAATAGTCTTAAGAAAAACAAATAGTCTTCAAAAAAGAAAGTCTTAAGAAAAACAAATCTACCTTTAGCTGCTTTCAGATTTTAGAAAGTTTTGTTTTTGCAAGAGATGTCAATACACAAATCTATTAGAAGAAATATTTCTTAAAAGCGTATAACCTTATAAAAATAATTTTGAATTGAATAGACTTACCTTTATTTTCCAAATAAAGTTTATTTCTGAATATATATTAAAGCTACTAGGGAACAATCAAGCAAAATGATGTGTAATAAGAAATGCAAAAAATAAGGAAAAGCAGAAAATGTCAAAAAAATGCAGTATTCAATGTCATGTTAGATACCTGTGATTTTAAAAAATAATCTGAACACAAGTTAACTGATTGTCCTTCTTTTCCATTTCAAATTATATGTATAGAATGGATTACCTTGGAGTGCTGCTCTTTTAACTTCATTACTATGCCCGGATCATCTTTTTTGCTAGCCATTAGCAATCTAAACATTTGCTCTCGATACTTGCTCATTATAAGTTCCAAGGCAGACTGATGTTCTTCCAGGGATGTACGTAATTCTATCAGGAATAACAGTATATTTTATTCAAATGAATTAAAGTTGTATAAAATATTCTCTTCCACATTACATTTATCAAAAAAGCAACTTATAAAGAGGGTATTTTAAAAAGAAAACACGATGTATAAAAATCTAGCCATATAGAAACAAAAGATACCAAACGAAGTCCTTCATCAGTTTTTTAAATTATCATTTTAAACTCATTTTTTGAGAATAATTTCAACAAACATTTACTGAATGATTAAGTATCAGATGATGCTTTGTATTAGGAATACCAAAAGACTATGGAACTTGGAGTCTAGCGGAGAAAACAAATACATAAATAATTACAACACAACGTGGTAAGTATAGAGTGGAGCTCTATTCAAATATATAAGAGAAGTCTGTGGGGAGAAATTGGTGAAAGCTTCACAGAAGTACAATATTGAGATGAACTTGCATTCTTTGAGCTGAAAAATAAAGGAAAGGGCATTCTAAGCAGGGAGACATGAAAGTGGATGGTGGGTGGATAAGAAAATAAGCATACAGTGAAGGTTCTTAAGCAAAAGAATAACATGATCAGATATATTTTTGAAAAATCAATCTAATGCCCGTGTTGAAGATGGATTGGAGGGGGAAAAGAGACTAGAATCAGGGAGACCAATTAGGATATTTCAGGCAAGAGACTATCAACACCTAAGCTGGGGGCCAAAAGAGTGGGACTGCAGAGAATGAAACTGAGTTATTTCATAGGTAACAACAATGGTGCAAACTAGACATTGAAGATGAGAATCTAAGATGACTCCAAGCAAGGTAGACATTCATATATAGGACAGGATAAAGAGCAATAAATATGATTTAGGCATATGGACTAGAAATGAGATTAATGTCAAAATGTAAATTTAGTTGGCCATTTTCACATTTTTGAAAATATTAATTGGTCTCAAGTTGACAGTACAATTGCAGATTAAAGTTTTCTTTTTATTTGCTATCCATAGTGATAATATATCTTGCCTTTGTTCTCCTGTTGCAATTCTCTGATTTGTTTGTTTTCTTGCTGGATTCCCATAACTAATGTGGACCGTGGCCGATGTCTTGCAACTTCATTAAGTTCTTGAATTTCTTCCTGATACTAATAAAAAGATTAAAAAAGAACATGTGGGGAGAAAATATTTGAAAATATATATCTGAGATATATATCTGATAAGGGTTTAGTATCCAGAATATATAAAGAACTCTTATAACTCAACAATAATAAGAAAAAAAAAATTAAAAAAACAGGCAAACAAGATGAACAAGTTCTGGGGGTCTAATGTGTAGCATGGTGACTAGAGTTAACAATACTGCATAATATCCTTGAAAGTTGCTAAGACAGTAGATCTTAAATGTTGTCACCACACACACACACAAAAGGTAAATTATATGAGGTAAGAGAGGTGTTAACTAATCTTATTGTGGTAATTATTTTGCAATATATATGTGTATCAAATCATCTTGTTGTACCCCTTAAACTTACACAATGTTATATGTCATTTATATCTCAATAAAGCTGTAGAAAAAAAATAGGCAAAGAATTTGAAGAGACATTTCTCTAAAGAAGATATACAAATGGCCAATAAGCACATGAAAAGATGCATTAGTCACTAGGGAAATGTAATTCAACACAACAATGAGATACCACTTCACAACCACTAGGATGACCTTAATCGAAAGGACAATAACAAGTGTTGGAAAGGATGTGGAGAAACCATCATATACTGTTGATGGGTGTAGCTACCTTGGAAAACAGTCCAGCAGATCCTCCAAAAGTTAAACACACAGTTATTATATGACTCATCCATTCCACTCCCAGGTACATACCCAAGATAACTGAAAACATATGTCCACACAGAAACCTGTACACAAGTATTCATAACAGTATTATTTATAATAGCCAAAAAATAGAAACATTCCAAATGTCCATCAACTGATGAATGGAGAGACACAACGTGCTGTACCCTTACAATGGAATACTATTCGGCAATAAAAAGGAATGAAGTACTGATACATGCTACAACATGAATGAAACTTGAAAACATTACGTTAAGAAATAAGTCACAAAAAGCCACATATTGTATGATTCCATTCATATGAAATGCCCAAAATAGGCAAATCCATAGAGATAGAAAGATGCCAGGGATTGGGGGAAGGGAGAGCTAGGGAGTGACTCCTAATGGATACAGGCTTTTGGGGTGATGAGTATGTTCTGGAATTAGTGATGATGGTTGTACAACCCGTGAATATACTAAAATCCAATGAATTGTACCCTTCAACAGGGTAAATTTTATGGCATGTGAATTATATCTCAATAATAATGATAATAAAAGAACATGTGCAAAAGAAATCCAAAATTGTCTTTTTTTAAATAAACGGGAAGCTAACTTTAAAATTGCACTCCTCTATTTTCAGGTGAGTTTGATGAGCCACTTAGTAACGTATTCATTATAAGATTCCTGGTTAACTTTGGTTGTTAAACTCCTTTTTTTACAACTCAATAGCAGATATATGTTCACTGGAATGCATGAGTCAAGCTAGACAGTTAGGGAGGTATGTAATCTGTTTAGGGCAACAGAGTTGCAAAACAATAAGTAAACTTGCTCCATTATGTCCAGTAGCTTTGTTAAAAGGAGTATCCCAGGGTTGCTTCCTTTTACAAAATGGATGAGTTTCACAACAGGAGGCTATGAATACACATTCTCCTCCACTGATTTCCATCATAATATCAGAGATTTTATAATTCTCTTAAGAGTTAAAAATTTTTATCAGAAGAGAGCTTAAAATAGTAGCTAAACTCCACGGCCTACCGGAAAGTTCTTATACAACAGTAAAGATAACAGGAAGTGAAGCCCTTTTCATTTCTTCTTTAATTGGCATCATTAAATGGAAAATAAGGTAGCAAGTACAAATGCAATAACTGCACAAGGTGTAAACCAGATACTGCCTTGCATCATTTCCAAAAACTATTTTGCTGTTAAATGACATCACCTAAGTACTTTTATAAAGAAAAATATAAACATTTCTACATTATAAAAATATGAGACACAGTAAAATATGTCAATACTAGTAAAAGATATTATCTGGTGTTTGTCAAATGTATCTACACCTAATAAATTAACATATTTTCTAAATTCAAATATGCATTTCTGTGAGAAAAACAACTGATCAAGTCTACAGGTTTTAGAATATATACACATATCTATGTCACCTGAAAGTGACAAAATTGTATTTTAATCTAAAACTGAAACATACAAATCAAACTACTTTTAAATTTTAGAGAACATTAAAAAAATAATAATTAAGCAGAAGTTTATGATTCAAGCAATACATAAATGTCAATGATGGCTTTTTAAAAAATGGAATCAACGAGAAAGAAAAAAATCAAACCTGCTTCATCGCTTCTACTCTCTTGTTGAGAGCTGTGGTTTGCTCAATCAGAGACTCTGCGGCATCGTCGTGATCTCTCAGTCTTTCCACAAGAGCTTTAGCATCAGCAAGTGCCTTCTCAATTGTGCAACTCATTTCTAAAGGAATACCTGTAATTAAAATCAAAATCAAGACTCAAAACAAAGCCAGCATATCATCTTATTTTAATTTCACGTGAACACAGATATGCTTCTTAAGCTACACTTGTTACAGGACTGTTCTTTGTCTGAGGAGAAAAACCATCTAAGAACACCTGTGGTTTTGCTTCTGTTAGGATGGCACAAGCTTGAAAGTGAATTTATAATGTTAAAAAAAATTGGAACATATGTAAATGATGTGTAGACATAATCAGAATGTATTTAAAACATCTGAATTTATGGTGGAGAAAAAAAGTACACATCCAATGAATATATTTTACATTGTATAGAAATTGTGCTCTTCATGAGGGCACGCCCTATCTTGTCATTTGTGAAAAACGTCACTATACTAGTCTGTATTCTGTGGTCAATGATTGTCAGTCTCTGTCTCTGACCATAAGATCCTTGATAGCCTTTGCTTGGTCATGTGACCTGAGGCACTGTTCACAAACATATACTACTGACCAGCCAAAGAGGTCTCTATGTGTCATGCTATGTCAAAGTGTCAACCTTCTTCTGGAGGAACTTCTACTTATATAAAGTTGCATTATAATCCTAACTCTTGCACTTTCCTTAGTAAATGGCAAAAAAAAGTTTTGACTTAGAACAATGCTGACCATTATGGGAAACTTTTGATATGTTAAAATCAATAAATAATATGTTTAAGAGGAGCTCAAAAAATTAAGAGACAAAATATGAAATAGTCAATAGTTAGCTTCTTCAATTGGTATGCTGAGACCTCAAAACAAAATTTTAATTTTAAAATAATCTCGCTCAAAGACTTTAACTTTACCGTCCTTGAATTTTTCTCTTTCTACTAAGTTTTACCTTACCTTCTATATTAGCCACCTTTTCTTCAGAGTTTTCTCAAAAAATAAAATCACACTGTAAAGTTACAAGGCCAGAAGCCAGGTCTATAAAAGTTAAATTAGGGCCGGCCCTGTGGCTTAGCAGTTAAGCGCACGTGCTCTGCTACTGGCAGCCTGGGTTCGGATCCCAGGCGCGCACCAAGACGCACCGCTTGTCCGGCCATGCTGAGGCCGCATCCCACATACAGCAACTAGAAGGATGTGCAACTATGACATACAACTATCTACTAGGGCTTTGGGGGAAAAAAAGGAGGAGGATTGGCAATAGATGTTAGCTCAGAGCCGGTCTTCCTCAGCAAAAAAAGGAGGATTAGCACAGATGTTAGCTCAGGGCTGATCTTCCTCACAAAAAAAAAAAAAAAAGTTAAATTAAAACTCTGGTATAGATCCAAGTTAAGGGCTGTAATTAAGAGCTATAATTTTCATCACCTTTAGAAAGGCAGAAATTTGCTAGAGAATGCAGGACTTTGTTACATACTACTGCACTGGACTATAGATAGTTCAATTAATTATTAGCCCCTCAGATACAGAAAAATGCAGCAAGGTAGAAAAGAGAAGATTTAAATAACTCAACTATGTAAAAGTAAAAAAAAAAGAAAAAAGAAAACACAACACATCAGGCAGTTTTGGTAGGTTTTCATTTAAGGTTATATTTAACAGAGATTCAAAATTGTAAACTAAATGAAAATGAAAAAATAGACTTCAGAAAACATTCAAACAGTATTGTTAGTTATACCCAACAGCTGAAGTAAAGGGCATATTGTCCTGTTATTATAAATAGGTTCAAACCGAATAAGAGGATTTAATCAAAATAAAATGTAAAAACTGCCAATTTAGAAAATATGAAATATATGACTGGACATTTCCAGAGAGATTTAAGAATTAAACAAGTTGGAAATTAATACAATTTCTGGCTCTCTAGATAAAACCACCAAAAGATTTGTCTTCTAAGATTTGAGAGGTTTAGATAAGGGTATTGAAAATACAATAAGCAAAAGGGCCATTAAAGGAACCAGTGTCCCATAGTGGCTAAAACACAAAAGGACAACTATCCAAAATCTGTCCAAGATGCTGCTCCCAGGGAGACATTAATAACCAACAATGCCCTGTCCTTCATCTAAACTTCCAATGGGAATCACCTAAAATTATAGATGGACAATATTACGGCTTTCTTATTTACACGGGAGTCACTTTATCTCCCATTAATCCCACTACTGTAGAACCCCAGATCCTCCAGAGTAAAATTTTAAAGTTACCTGTAAAGCAAAAAAAGAAAGGGGGGGGGGGCAAATTGATTTGAATAAGTAAAAAAAATTAAAAACAGAAAACACATTTGTCTTACAGTAAAAATAACTGGTTGTAACAGATGGTGAAAGGAAACGATAAAAAAACAAATTTGAAAGACTAGAGAAAATTGTAAAAGACTGAATAAAGGAAGAATAAAGTTTATCTTGGTTTAATAGAACAACTCAAGTATGTACTAGGATCTCTAACAATCCCAGTCCCAGCCTGCAAACGATATTATTGGGACCACTATCAGAAGAATACTTCTTTATCCTCTGTAACACAACAGCTACAAATTTATTTATTTATTTATTTATTTTGAGGAAGATCAGCCCTGAGCTAACATTCATGCCAATCCTCCTCTTTTTGCTGAGGAAGACTGGCCCTGGGCTAACATCCGTGCCCATTTTCCTCCACTTTATATGGGACGCCGCCACAGCATGGCTTGACAAGCGGTGCATCGGGGCGCGCCCAGGATCCGAACCCGGGCTGCCAGCAGTGGAACGCGCGCACTTAACCGCTACGCCATGGGGCCGGCCCTACAAATTTAATAGATAGGATCTGTTTCTAAATAAAATGCACTGAGGCTCCTACGTATAATCAGATAATAGGAGACCAAGGCATGAAAATACCTATATGTACTGTTTATAATTCAATAAATTGCCAAAAGAAAAAAAAAAAGCTATGCTTCCAGAATCCTCTGGGCAAAAGAATCCACAGACAGAGAGATTAATTGGAACAGAGCCCTGAATCTAGATGGAGTCTTTCTAGATAATCATAAATCTTTCTTTTTGAAATATAAAAGGTTATGCTGTGTTCTGGGGATAGTAACTCAACGACATGGCACTAAAGACCCACTGCCTCTTAAATCCTATGCTTTAATTCAGTAGCTAAAGCCTAGCTTCCTTGCCTCAGAGCAATCACAGGCCTCAACTAAATTAGTCAAAGCATCTTCAGAGCTTGTACTAGGTCTTGAAACCTAGTGTTACCATACGTAGCAAATCTATTGCTAAAGGAAATCACCCTAATTTTTCTACTAGTTAAACAATTATGAAATATTGTTACTCTCTTCTTTTCATGTTCCCATCCACTGATATAATACTCTTACTCCGACACCCATATTTACTGAAAGAAAATCTCATGATTGTGTTTCCACAAATCAATTACTATCCAAGCCCAAAACAAAACTTCTGAATTCTCTAGTACCAAATCTTGACTTTACTGTTTGTTAATGGGTTTTATACTAAACACAAAAAGTGACAATACCAGGCTTGATATACAATAGGTACTTTAGTCACTCTGATAAAATTCAATTTCTATCAAATGACTTAACCGTGGCCCTCTAAGATAGAGCAATTTGCTAAAATAAAAGAGTAAATTTACACTCTAATAGCTGGATCATTTTTTAAATAATTTGTTTCTTTGAAATGTTGCAAAGAAAAGAAGTGCCTCAGATATCCCTTAAAAAACAACAAATACATTAACTACTTGATGGCTTGATGCTACTTAAAATAATGAAGGTAGAGACACAGAGTAAAAAAGATACTATACAAACTAATACTACTATACTGTAAATACTATGGATCTACTTTAAAGTATACTATAACCAGACTGCTTTGACTAAAAGTCCTTATGCAAGGGCCTCATATAAAACAACAATAAAATTATAACAAATCCTTGGAGAAGTTAAAGATTCCATCACAGACACACAAAATCTGGCCTGACAAATTCTGAAAAGAAACATGGGATGATAAAGTTGTAAAATCTCTGAGGATACGAGCTGCCACAGTCAGAATGGCTACCCGACAGCACCAGATAAAACCTCAAATGGACACTAGAAACTCCATGAAACATCTCATTCCAGTAGGAAAAAAACTGGTGACAATATTAAACACTGATGGTAAAATTTTTTGGATAGCAGAGGATGTGGCCCAGTGCATGACTTATTTGTAAATAAATTAACAGAAAAACTGTAAAGGTGAAGCAAGGACTAAAACTATTTCTAAAGGATTTTTTGAACATCTCCTAATGGATTTTATAGGGTTGCCTCTCTCTATAGTTTAGGACTATGTAACATTCCTAAATATGCTTATGCTCTGGATAGGTTGAAAAAGTCCTCTGTTGAAAAGCCAAAATACTCACAATGATTAAAATACTATTATAGTTTGTGTTTCCTACCAAGGACATTCTCACTTGTCAACCAAGTAATATGGAAACATATTTAACTGGAACAGTTATTTATGAATTTAAATATGTAACACTTTGCCTCTTTCTCAGAAATCTTCCTGTCTTCATCATTCCCAGTCCTCAACAAACCCCAAACAGGATAAATCCAAGAAGGTCCAACATCAGACACATCATAATTAAATTTCTGAAAATTAAAGACAAAAAAATCTTGAAAGCCACAAGAGAAAAATGATACATTACTTATAGAGAACCAACAATGTGAAGGGCTGTGGATCTCTCATCAGACATCATAAAGGCCAGCAGCAAATGGAACACTTAAAGCTGCTGAAGCAACAGAACTGTCCACCCAGAATCCTACATCCAGGAAAGATATCCTTCACATATGAAGGTAAATAAATATCATTCTCAGATGAAAAAAGAATTAATTTCTAGTAGATTTGTTCTAAAGGAAATTATTCAGAGAAGCACAATGAAATCAGAAGAGAGACTCAGAGCATCAGGAATAAAGGAAGAGTAATAGAAATAATAAATTACTAGGCAAATATATCAAACTATTTTCTTGAATGCTTTAAAATGTCTGACGTTTGAAAACAAAAATTATAACTTTTGCCTGATGGAATT